GTTGTACGTTTTACGTAAACTGGTCTGCCCCGCCCACTGAGCGGACGTCAACCACCAGGGCTACCCCAATCGCCCCAGCGAAGCGGCAATAAGAATAAGCACATGTCGCCGAAGATCCAAATCCGCCACAAACATGAGCAGAATAAATAAAACCACGGCCGCGCATTATATTGCGTTACGTTTAGTGTTGGTGTTGCCACCTATAAACAGATCTACCGGTTCGAATCGGCATTATCCCTGACATTCATACGACAAATGAAAATGTTGTTGTTCCGTCCTTTAAAACATTTGTAATCTAGAAAGGTGGGGAACGTTTAGGAATAGCACATTCGGGTTCAGTGGCGGCATGAAGGAAAATGCCGGAGATTGCATGAGCTGGAGTGACAAGTGGGCCGACTAATCAACAATATGGCAGATTAAAGTACGATCGTTCTAGAAGAAGTGGTTATTGAAGAAAAATGTCGATTGTGGGCGAGCTGCAGTACGCGCGAACACGGACCTGCAATGACAGCAAAACATGGCATAGTGCCTATTCAGGCGATAGCGGTGCTGCTTGATTAGGCGGAGCTGCAGACAAGTGGTTGGATTTGGACTCAACAGCAACATGCAGACAGTGCCGATCGTCTAGTATATGATGAAGAAAATGTTTGATTAGGCGGAGCTGCAGTGACAAGCGGCTGGACGACCGCCTACAGCCAAATATGCAGACAGTACACCAGTCTCAGTATGGCGATACTGAAGAAAATACGATTAGTGAGCTGCAGTGACAAGTGGAGCGACGACCTAACACGCAAAGATGCAGACAGTACGATCAGTTCAGCAGGATGAAGAAAATGTTTGATTGTATGTTTGGCGGCGGTTACCGGACTCATTACAGAATGCGGTATAGCGGCCATTCGTAGTTCAGCTTTACATGAAGAAAAACGTTTGATTGTAAGGAGCCGGTGTAGTGACAAGGGTTAATGGACCAATACGCAGAATGCAGACAGCCGTTCGCCCAGCATATACAGCCAGTGCCGTTTGATTGTAAGGAGCCAGTGACAAGCGGTTGGACGGACTCCAACACAGCAACATGCAGAGAAAATATTCAGTTCTATATGATGAAGAAATGTTTGATTAGGTGATTGCAGCATGGCGGTTGATTTTGACTCCAAATACGGCAACATTATGGTGACAGCATTGACCGGCCCAGTACAGCTGAAAAATGTTTGATTGGCGCATTTTCGCAGTGACAAGCGGCGACGTATCCTAATACAGCAGAATGCAGACAGTACTGACCAGTTCACATGATGAAGAAAGCGCCGGACAGGGCGTATTTGTAAAGCATGTGCTGCTGGATTTTGATCCTCCCACAGCAAAATGGCGGTAGACAGTACGATCAGTTCAGTTATGATGAAGAAAGGTTTATCAGCGAGCCAGTACGCCAGCGGTTAATGGACCAACATTGTTAAATGTCGATGACAGTACCAGCCCGGTACATGATGAAGAAAATGTTGATTGTAAGGAGCTGTAGTGATATGGTTGACGGATCTAACACAGCAGAATGCAGATGAAGTACTGGCGAGTTCAAAAGCATATGAAGAAATGTTTGATTGTAAGGAGCTGTAGTGACGTGCTGCTGACGACCAAATGGACAGCAGGAATGGCGACAGCATTGATCAGTTCAGTACATGATGAAGAAAATGTTTGATTGTAAGAGTTGTAGGATAAGTGGAGACCAAACACAGCAACACGATGTGCAGAAAATGATCAGTTCAGTGGCATAGCGGCACGCTTTGATTGTGGTGATTGCAAAGTGGACAAGTGGTTGGACGGACTCAACACAGCAACATGCAGACAGTACGACCTGCCCAGCATATGCATGAAGAAAAATGTTTGATTGTAAGGAGCTGTGCAGCATGCTGTTGATGACCAAACACAGCAGCCGATGATGGTGCGCTTAATCAGCGCCCAACACATGGTTTGGCACGATTTGCGAGCCAGCATGGCAGCCCCATTTTGACCCACACAAAGCATATACGACCGCCCGCGACAGCGAAAAATGCCGATCAGGCGAGTCGCAAAAGCATGCTACCGGACGACCCATCACGCGATGGACAGCATTGTTCGCGAAGTTCTGAAGTGTTATTTACAGCACATGATGTACATTTGGCATGTAAGCGGCCGACGGACCCCACCATGGTGCCATGGCGGTACGATCGAAGTCTGCGGCATATTGAAAATACGGACAAAGGTTTTGCGCATGCTGCCGGACGATTCCAACCATGATGGCATGCGTCGATCGTTCCAGTATATGATGAAGAAATGTTTGATTTGTAAGGGCCACGTAACCGAACGAAGCACATCAA